GAGGGGATAGTGTTTTGAACTGTTGCCTAAGGTCGTAGGCCGAGGGCAACAGTTGGAAACACTATCCCCAACATCGAGGGACATCTGTTTGATTGTTCCCAAATAACATATGACATCGAGGGACAACTCTTTGACTCTTCCCAAATCACGTATGATTTTATTACCTGATCAATTAATGTTTCAACAGTACTTGCAGAAGAAAAAAGGAACAAGAAAAAAGTTTGGCAAATATGTTAAGTTGGTTCAAAGGGGGAAACCTCACAAGGGAAACAGTCAGAACTATTGACCGGTTGACAGTTCGCTAACGTTGAGGTCTTTAGAATTTCAGAAAACAGTAACAAAAAAAATTTATATATTTAGGTATCCGGTAATAAAAGCAGTTAATGTCATGTTGTGTTAATAAGTTTTATTTTGATTCTTAAAAATCAAGTAAACAAATATGTTGTTATTTGTTCATCTTTAATGTTTTTAATGAAGTGTCAGCAGAGACATTTGTTATGATATTCATGGTATATACCATTGGCTACGGCATATTTGACAATGTTGGGCCAGAATGCATTATGATTATAGTCAGAAATAATTTTAAAAAAGAATAATTATAAAAATTAGGGTGGCATTTGTTTTCATACGCAGTACTGTATAAATTTAATTATGTTAACATTAGTAGAATTGCAGAAACATATGTTTGACATTATCGATCACATTCTTTACTTTTATGTCATTCCTTGAGCAAATTTGACCATATTGTATCCTAGAATGCAAAGCCAAGACTGACTGTAGTCTTTGGTGAAGAATAATAAAGTAATCAGGTATAATTTAAAACAAAAACTTTAAAACTTATGGTGACATTTCTTCCAGTAAAAAATATATTCATTTAGAAGTACATAATAATTTACACCTATAAAAATGCTATTGCAGGTACAGAAAATATCAAAATTGCTGGAGCATAATTATGATATGGAAAAAAAACACACACACAAATTGATATAAAAAAATTAGTCAATCAAATCATAAAATTCTAGAATAAAGCTGATATTTTTCAGGAAAAAAATGGCATTTGTATTTCATTATGCATGAAATATAAAAATACAAAAAAGAAAAATATAATATCAAATAAAAGTTGAGACACCTCACCAAGTAAAATAATGCTGTGTAGTAGGATTGACAATACGATTCCTAGAATTGTTAACATTATGAGATAATCAAGGGCTAGGTTTGTTTTTACAGGAATAGGATGGAATTCGTTTTCAATACTATTAATGTTACAATATAGACACAATACTGATACTCATCTTCTGTATCAATGTCATTGCAGATCTGACAATTTGATATGAGGGAACAATTTGTGTGAACAATGCGTTTGGTAGGACAATGTCTCCAGCCTCAGAATTTATGAGCCGTTCTCAGCTAATGGAGACTTATTAAAGTGATACTATTAACAGACAGGCTTAATTCAACACCCAATTCTGTCCCGTGAATCCCCATCGGGCTAATAATTTCCAACATCTCGTAAAAAACGATTGAATCAGTGCACATAATTTTCATGTTATTAAGGTCATGTGAAAAACTTGATTTCCATATCGAAAATAAAATCAGAATCAGATGAGCGCTTTTAAGGAAGGTTTTTCCCATTAAAACAAACAGCTAATGTGATTTTCCTCAGACAATTTATAGGCCTCTATAGCCATACTTTTGAAATGTTTGTATTTATGTTTTAAGGTTGTTAAATGTTTGCATGTATGTTTGCCATTGAAATAGAATAATTGTTAGTTGTATTGAATTTAAGGACCTTTAGTTTGAGTAGCATTTAATAGAGAAGAATATAGACTTTTCTATACCACTGATAGAGACCTTAGGCTAGATTTGAACTCCTGTGGCCAATGGATTTTTACACCAGTTAAAGTCAGGGTAGTCTCTAAGCTACTTTACCCTAGAGTAAGGCTTGCCTGAATTCTAGTAGTCATTACGACTTACCCTTATCACCAGTATAGATCTAGCCTTAATTCTAGCAATCTTATGTCATTCCTTTCCCACCCACTGGTAAAGAGCAGGCTTGTTTTACACATAACAACAGTTTAACCACCTATATTGTCCTAGGTGAGCCTACATGTCTGTGCAATATTATAGTCTTAATACTTATTCTTTCTGGCATAATTGTACCTCTTTCATATTATTGTGTCACTCTCATATTGTATAAACCTTTAATAAGCAAAGAATTGTTTCCATATTCAAAACAGGGCAAGTCCATCAAGATTAGCAGGGCTAAACCATGTTTTAACCCAGGAAAAGCTTGTTAACATTGATATGTTACCTGTTACAATATGACACGTGTTAAACGATAATTTCACAATGGTCTGACTTGTATAATGATATCAATTCAATGGTATTGATTGACTGAAATCAATATATTCCTCACGAATTTTCTAAAAAAAAAAAAAGGAAGAAATTTTCTTCAAGTTGTGCTAATCTTTTAATCACGTTACTAGCATTTACTCAGTCGGTAACCCAGGGATGTGGCAAGCTTTTAAAATAATTCATTCTCTCCTTGGGGCATTCCGATATTATCTGTGCTCTTGTTTCATACAAAGATAGGAGTTTTCTGCTCTGTTGGTAACGTTCATGTCAATCGAAAGGCCATTATCAAACTGTCCTATTGATTCGTATGAAAAGCAGGAACTGGGATTAGGGCATTGTAGGTGTTTGAAGCAGCAATTTTATCTTCTATAATTTCCGGGTATCATTTTTCTTTCCAATAATAATTTAGTGGTGATAGGTGTTCAGAAGGTATGCTTTGAAAAAGCATGGAGTGTGCTTAATAGGATGACAGGCATTAGATAGGCTTAAAAAATAGAAAGACATTATGTATGCTTAAAATTGATAAAAGACATCAAGATATGCTTAAAATTGATGAATGACATTCTAGGTATGCTTAATATTTATGAAAGACATTCAAGGTTTGCTTAAGATTTATCAAAGACATTCAAGGTACGCTTAAAATTTATTAAAGACATTCAAGGTATGTTTAAAATTCATCAAAGACAATTAAGACATACATGTGCTAAAAAAAATCAGAAGAGAGTATGCATAAAAGTTAAGGTCTACTTAAGGTAGACATTCTGGGTGTGCTTAAAAGTTATAACAACATATTAGGTATACCTTAATGTTAAGAAAGACATATAAGGCATTCTTTAATCTTAGAAATGACATATTGGCCATGCTTAAAAGTTAGGAAAGACATATAAGGTATCACAACAGTTAAGAAAGACATATTAGATATGCTTTAAAATAAAGAACTACATATAAGGTATGCTTTAAAGTTAAGAAAGATATATAAGATATGCTTACAAGTTAAAAAAATGACATTATGAGGTATGCTTAAAAAGTTAAGAAAGACATACCGGTATGTTTAAAAAGTTAAGAAAGACATAATTATAAAGTATGCTTAAAAAGTTAAGAAAGACATATTTGATATGCTTACAAGTTAAGAAAGGCATATTAAATATGCTTACAAGTTAAGAAAGACATATTAGGTATGCTTAAAAAGTTAAGGAAGACATATGCTTAAAAAGTTAAGAAAGACATTATGAGGTATATAAGGTATGCTTAAAAAGTTAAGAAAGACATATTAGATATCTCAACAGTAAAGAAAGTCCTATATTAAGGCAATTTCTTTAATGTTAAGAAATACTTATAAGGCATGCATAAAGGTAAGTTAAGAAAGACATTATTATGTATGCTTAAAAAGTTAAGAAAGACATACGTAATTTTTTTTAAAGTTAAGAAATACATATTAATTATGCTTACAAGTTAAGAAAGACATATAAGGTATGTTTGAAAATTAAGAATGACATAAATATAAGGTATGCTTTAAAGTTAAGAAAGACATATTAGGTAATAGTATGCTTAAAAAAATGGCATGTTTAAAAGCACAAAAAGACACGAGGTTTGCCTTTAATGCACTTTTGGTACACAAAAGAGAAATTCAGAAATTTATTAAAGTTAAGAAAGGAAACAGCATTGAGAAGTAATTAAATTTTTGTATTTTATATTGAAATATGTAAAACTTGATGATGAGTAGTAACTTCCAATTCTACTGCAGGAATATTTCAAATACAAATTGAGCAGAGCATATGTCAGAGTCAATAATTTAAAATCCTGGTCACAAGCCACTAAATTTTGAACAAAAACATTCAACTATATTTAGTGACATTCACCAGAATAATTGGCAATGCCTGACAATGTTAGTGTCACATACAGTCAAAGTGAGTATCTGGCTGGAATTGGTATAGCATTGTATTTCACTTCCCACTTTGATGTGAATTTTAAACACATGTTTATACTCCTAAAACACGACTGATGTTTGTCTTTTGTGACAGAATAATTTTACATTGTGAGGCAAGTTCAGTGGAAACAGTGTGGTATTGATTCTTTTACAGTTATTTGTTCACCGTTGATTTCTGTAATTGCTGCCTTGCCTGTCACATACAAATCTGTCAGTGAAACATGACTCCCAGGGAATTTAGCACCATGTACTGTAAAAAAGGTTACAGGGTAATTTGAGTGACTACAGTTCCTAGCTTTGTTTTAATTTAATAGTTGTTTGAATATATATTTTAACAAAGCATAATGTTAACAAAATATTTAAACTATATTAATAATTTAAGCTCAAGTTTATCCATTTACCGTTCCAAATGTGATTAGCCTTTGCCATTATTTTAGAGCTGGGCTTGGCCAGCCTGTTTTGGTCCATGGACAAAGTGATTTCACCTTTCATTCGCGAAATATTATTTTAAGAGTAATTCAGTTTGTTTTCTATACATGTTTAAATGAATGAGTTTTATTATTTGATTGCACCACTTAATGGTCTATGTTTACTCTATTTAATATTATGATTATAACTTAAGATATTTTTATATTATTTTACATTTTATATAGAAATAAAAAAACAATGAATATGTTAATCCCTGTGGTAACAAAATTGAAATTTTGTATATTTTCAGGAGTGAAGAACCAGTGAACTCCAATATGGACATCTCCACTGGACATATTGTGCTGGTTAGTCTCAACTATTCTATTTTTACATTTTAACCTTTAACCTATATTGAAAATAGGTTAGTAGGTCAGAGGTGAAGGTCATATTAGCATTTAATCTTTTTCTAATATTTACATTGTACTTTTTTGTGCCCTATGACCTTACATTGTACTGTTTTGTGCCCTATGACCTTTGTTAAGGTCAATTGGTCAAATGACATGGCATAGAGATATTGTTACTGTACAGTTTAATTGTTTCATTAATTTAATCCGACAGTTGTTATAATAGAAATAAGAATAAATCAGTTTAATGATAAATTTTCAGATATTGAACTTTATTTGAGAATTGTACTCCTGCAATTTATGAATTTTTTAATGAAAGTGTCAATTATCATAAGTTTCAGTATTTGATTGTTTTGTTAATTTGAATTATTAACATTTTCTACAGTCCTACATGGAAGACCACTTGAAAAACAAGGACAGACTTGAACGTGAGTGGGAGGCGATGTGTGCGTATGAAGCTGATCCTTGCAGCACCAAGGTCGCTGCTGATAACGGCAATGCAAGGAAAAACAGATACGCTGATGTCCTACCATGTAAGAAAATGAAGTCTTATTTTATCGTAGATCTGAGATTTTCCAAGTAATTAGTATACCCGATGTTTAGTTAGTTTCATTAATGTAATTGGCAAGGTAATTTTGATTCAGTGAAAATGGAACATCCCTTATTTTGTTAACATTAAAGTGCCCTTATACAAAGCATCAAATTTCTGAACAGTCTTATATTACTACTGCATGCTAGGCTGCCATTACATCACCTACGGTCTGACAATTTTAGTTTGCCCAACGAGACATGTAATATGAACGTTAATTATAGTCATTACCCATCAATTTTACTAGAAGACTTGTTAAAGCCATGCATGATTGGCATGAAAAGGCAATTAGAGATCTAGGATTTCACGAAATTTGTGTCCATTTTATCAGATTTTAGACATTACAGAAGTTTCAAGACTGGAACCACAGTAATTGAATTTCAACTTTCGTTTGAAGATTTGAAACCATTATTTTTCAAAGAAGTCCCTCAAATTTCCTGTTTTTAATTGTTATTGACACACATGTTATGAAATTTCATTCTGTATTTTGAAAACTAATACGATGTTAATTGTTTTGTTTTTCATGTTTTGTTTTTTTTCATTATGAACATTTAAGGGGCTTAAAATTTTACCCTTAGGTCAGTAGTTTTGAACCTCTTTCTGGCTGTCGATAAAAATATTAAATACTAATAAATACTAATTGTGTACAAACAACAAGAATAAATATCGCCATCTTTAAATTTGCTACTCTTCTTAATTCAAATGTAATATTATGCTTTTTCAGTTGATTTTCAATTTTTCCTTAAATATTCTCAACAATTTTTGCCACATTTTATTTCCTCAAAATTTACCAACATGTTTCAGTGATCATCATTAGCAATTTTAATAAAACCATGTTCTTTGTCAACACATTTCAAAATGACGTATTTCACATGCCTTTTTTTCCTTTATAATTGTTTGGAGATTGATAATAATGGTTCTAATGTAATCATACAATCAGAAATTATAAAACCTAATTATAATCATCATAATACATCAATGCTGTACATTAGAAAACAAATCTTATTGTTATGCATATTATAATACAGAATACAAGAACAGTGGTTATTAAAGATATTAGAAAATTATAAGAGTCGGTTATCCGATTTCACTGAATTACGATGGTTTGATATTGGAGTAATGCAATGTAAATATTGTTGTCATGCAAGCAGTCTTACACTGCGCTGATTACATGGGTTGTAGTGATATATTAGGATAACTGATTGACCTTATTATGAGCTCGTGATTTCAAAATTTTAAAAAAATAAACGGAAATTAAAATTGGCTGAAACTTTGTTTCTCTGATAGAAATGAGGAATATAACTCTTAAAGATAACTCTGGTCAAGACAAATGGGAGATAACTCTTCTTGATTCTGGTCATGAAGATAACTCTTACTAAAGCAGATTAGGAAAATGGAGGATAACTCCTTTTTGTACTGGTCAGGAAATTATTTTTAAAAAATCTTGTTTATACTGCAGGTAAGAAAACTTACTCTAAAGGAAAATCATTGTATTAAATCAATTAATAATGTGACAGTATTTCATTTACTGAAATTAGGAACAAATTACAAATTATAATTACAAATTATAATTACAAATAATGTCCAAGCAAACCTGGATTTCTTGCCTTTCTCATGGACCTATAATTATGATTAAACTAAATATAGAATCAAAATATTTCAAGGAGGGCATGATGGGAGGAGGCTTTAATAGGGTATCTTAAATTTTTCCTTACTGTCTGATGACAGCAGGAATAAGGTAGGTCTTTTTTATGAAAAATAAATTATGATGAAAAGGAATGTATTTTGATACCAAATATTGAAAATTTGTAAAGTCTACAAGTATTTAATTTAAATGGCAGTTAAAACATAGTGTATAAATTATGGAACAGAATTAGTGCATTTATTCCATCTTGCTTTATGATATCGGGACTTACATTATGCTTGCTTCTATACTTCTTTATGACAATGAAAACCTGCGTTTTGCTGAATTCAATCATGCCTTGTGATTACTGAATGCACTTTCATGTAATTGCAACCTTATGTGTTCCCTACTAAACCATCAAACTCACATATTTTAATATGCAATATGTTTAATTGCATCTTTTATTAAAGGACAATGTATTATGTTTGGTGTTTAAGATAACATTCTTTGCTTGTTCTTGATATAACTATATGTAACATGGTAAGTTTCTGTCGGTACCTTTAATTTGCTATAAATCTGCCACTTATATTGTCGACATTATGTCACAATAAATTATTAATTTTGATCAATAATTGGCGAATTTGATGTGTTTTAGCATTCATATGCTTCAATATATTCACTGATTACAAATATAATGCAATACATGATCACTGCGCATCGACAACGAAGATGACAACGATAGCGATATTATAGTCGCATGTGACAGTACGCACTAAGCAGTTGGCAGTAAGCATAATGCGAGTTGCAATAATTTGTGTTCATATTATGACAGCAGGTGTCGCTTTGTCGGTACATCCCGTTATTTTCTGGATGATCCCGTATTTTGGCACGTGGAGTAAACAAAGTTACGTCCCCTTCATACAGGGGCGTATACAGAACAGTGTTATTTGGGGACTGACATGTAAAGGGAAAATTTACTGAAAAACAAGAGAACACGATGCGACAGACGAAAAGTGCGTGTTTTTGAAGATTCCGCCAGCATGTGGAAAAAAATGTTATAGATGTCTCTAATAACTCATCCTACAAGTGGCAACTCACCTCTTATACAATTGTTTACACTTCTTTTTGAGCGTGTGTGATAGTCGTATGAGTAATAGTGAAATTGAATTTTAAGATATACTATATGCTCAAACTTACGGTGGCACAAAGGTGACATGTGTGTGTTTTTATTTATCTCGTGCGCACGAGATACTGTGTCGTGGCCACGAGTTACTAAGTCGTGGCCACGAGATAATCAAATCGTGGGAATGAGATGACTAAGTCGTGGCCGCGAGTTACTATGTCGTGGCCACGAGATAAATTAGTCGTTAGAACAAGTTACTATGTCGTGGCCACGAGAAAGTTTAGTCGTGGCCAAGAGAAAGTTACGTCGTGCGAACGAGATAAATAACCAAATGAATTTTCCTAACAAGGATGCCCCTACTTCTCCTGTCCGTAAAAGTGCTATTTATAAAAGTTATTGATTGGTCAAAGATTTAGCGTCATTGTGACCCTGATTTCTGACCAAATTGCCTAAAAATTATCAGGTGTCATCTACTGATCTTTTTGAGGTTATATAAACTACGGCTTATTCTTTCTAAATCATTCATCAGACAAGGAATTTACATGAAGTGTCATGTTTATCTGACCTTGTTATAGGATATCTACTGTTCGTGGGCAGCAATGTCCCTACCCAATAAAATAAACCAGGACTAAGTCCCTCTGAAGTTATGGTATAAACAATGTTGACAGGCCGTTGTACGTACAAAATGACCAATTCTATCATAGAATTGTCCCAACAAAGGGCTATAACTTAGTCAAAATTAATGTCTGATTTATGGGCCTTATGATCCTAAAGACATGTATCAAGTTCAAAGTGAACACTTTAGTATTTTCAAAGATTAATGTTGCACGTAAATCTTTAAACAGTAATTTTCTAAGTTTAAAAAATCATGGTGTAATCTGACTGGTTAATTATATAGTCTGCACGACTTAGTTATCTCGTTCCCACGACTTAAACGACATAGTATCTCGTGGCTACGATATAGTATCTCGTTTCCACGACTTAACTATCTCGTGGCCACGAATAGGTAACTCGTGGCCACGACTTAGTACAGTACAAACTTGATTTTTTTTCTGTAAAATAAAATAAATATAATTTGGCTTCACACAAATATGTGTGCTTTAAATCCTTTACACTGTAAGTGGGCAGTATGAATATACATGTTTATTATATACTTATAAATGAAATATTGAGAAATATTGATGAAATAAAATGCGTATTTTCATTTTCCGTATTTTCACTGTAGAAATTTATTTTTCACTGCAGTGGAACATATTTTCCGTATTTTCACTGGTGTCTTGCCGGACTACTTTCTTTTAAATTCTGCCAGTACACAAAATTTAAGGGAAAGTCTTTCAAATTTTATCGCAAAAAAGAGAAAAATGTATATAATAAACAGAAAATTCAAGTTTTTTCTATAAATACATGATTTATTTTCATCTTGTGGCATGAAAATTACCATATTTCACTCGTTGCTACCGCCACTCATGAAATATTTATTTTCATACCACTCGATGAAAATAAATCATGTATTTATAGAAAAAACTTGAATATCCTCTATATAGTGTTATTACAAAAAAAATATGGAAGTTTCTTTTAAAGACAGGCACAACTTTACTTGACCCGTAATAAGAAAAGCAGATTCCTATACATTATGTGTATGTGTTTTTATTTAAATAAAACATATTTAGTAAGAATTTTATAGATTTCAATAAATTTCTGTGATAAAAATATCTTACTGAAAGATGTGCATAGTATATCATTAAGCACAAATGTATGTGAATGTGGTGGTATGTGCGGGATGTCTGATCTATAATCAGACACACATATGCCCAACATTTGAGCCGCGTCACGACAAAACCAACAGAATGGCTTTGCGACCAGCATGGATCCAGACGCGCAGTCTGATCAGGATCCATGCTGTTTGCTTTCCAACTCTTTTACAAGTAGAGAAACTGATAGCGAACAGCATGGATCCTGATCAGACCGCGCGGACGCGCAGGCTGGTCTGAATCCATGCTGGTCGCAAACCCATTATGTTGGTTGTGTCGTGACGCGGCTCATTTGAAATTGACTATTATTACAAAAATAAACAACTTCCTTCTTTCCTTATTATACATGTATATTTTAATGTGTTACATACCTATTCGCCACTATTAGTGACTCTGAGACATTTATTAAGTTAAAAGGCCAATAATTTTTGCTTTTTAATGTCCAAGTCATTAGATAAAGACCTTCGCAGTACCTAGGCCGGTGCTTAACAACTGGATGACAGCATAATATGTTTTGGTAAGGGAGTACACTAAGAAGACTATTGCATGAAACTGACACGTATATATTCCATCCCAGCTCATGAACGTATATTTGGGGGTAGGTGCAGCCCTTCAGCCAGGGCCTGAACCCGCCACTGTACGTATAACTGCCCCATTGAATAACTGTTTACGAGCATATACATATATAAAATTATATTGCATAATCCTTTACTACTTGTATTTATATTCTTTCAACTGCAATTTATGTATTAAGCGCGTACTACGTATTTTATTTATATATACATGTACGCAGTATCTATACGGAAAATTCCGATGATAGGCGAATCGTGGAAAAATTCCGTTGATATAGATAACAGAGTTCTCGCCCCTTAACAGTTCACAAATCGCGACATAGTTTAAATTGTTTATCATAATGCAAGATGATCAAACATAATCTACAAAAAAAAAAAAAATTTTTTTATATAAAATTTCGTGGGTGGTTTTGTATTTGGTACCTTATAGTAAGCTTTAGAGTGTTGAATTATTTTTTTTTCAGGGTTGTAGTAGGGGTCCAGGGGCAGATAGGGGTGGGGTGTCTAAACACTGATACTGCCACCTGTGTGTTGTGACAGAAAGCATCAAGATCTTAGGCATACACTTGTAAGACATGCCGGGGCAGTGATTTCTTTTACCCACTACATATAAACCATGAAGAATTTAATTGGCATGTGTGGCCACAAATAGGAAAATATTTGTATAAAATTTGTATTTATTTTAAACAGGAATACTCTCATTAAAACTGAAACAATGAAACTAGGCCATTTATTGATCTTATAAGCTGCACATGCACAGCTGTTTTTTTGTGTGTGTTTTTATTATTTTTTTTATAAATATCTGGTGCATTTTGCAAGTTTTAAAGATGAAAGGATTTGATATAAAGAGGATCAAAACAAAATGAGGGATTATGTAGCTTATTAAGCAGAAGATACAAACATTTCCTGCCAAGTGTATTCTGGGAAAACTTTTAATGACTGTTGCAAACAAAATGCATTCTGGGAAACACATTTTGTTTGCTGTCAGTCTGTAGGGCATAAAAGGAAATCAGTTTTTTGTTTTGCATTTCAAGCTTTTTCCTACCCATTTAATGTTGGGTTTTTTAAAAAAAAATTTTATAAGGTTAAACTGCATAGGGAGAAATAGTTTTGTGTTACTAGAAATTCCTTTTTGCCATTTTCAATTTAGAGTTTGATGTCATTTAGGAAATGTGTTGATTAGGTGCTTTTACAATATTAGGGAAGGTGTTTTAAGGCTGGCTTCCCTGCAATCACGGATCATGAATCAATTCCAAAAAGATTTTTTTAAAAACATTTCCGTATTAAGTATTAAGGGAGATAGTTTTATCACATTGTAATAAGTTTAAGAGTTATTACTTGTTACTCTATGTCATAGTGATTATAATTCTGCTTTTTTTTCTACAATGTACTGTAAAACGCTTGAAATTTGTGTTGTCATAATTTCCCAAATGTCTGTCAAAAAGAGAGTATTTTTCTTTATTTGCATATTCATGAAATTTTTTTTTCTGTGACATCAGAATGTGCTACATTGACATATTATACCAAATAAATATTCCAGGCTTCCTAGGATAACTTATAATGAAACAGTTTTATTTGTTCTGTCATTGACATGTTTTTATTGAACAAATATTTGCAGAAATATTTGCCCATTTGTTCATTACATGCATATTTGAGAGCATATTGCAATGGCACTATTGACAGCCAGGGTAAAAAAGTAATGTCTTTTATTGACAACAATAATATTTTTCACTGTGTAGTGTTTCGGTGTTTTATTAGCCATGTTTGCCAATGGAAAAACTCGGGTTGTAAGATTGATGAATATTGGCGGGCGCCTGTGTGGGCACAGGCGCAAAGGGGTATATATTATTGCCCACATACAAGACCCCCTAACTGAATGATTGTCATCAAGATTGTTCTAGTTGTGTCGCCTCTACGGAGTAGTGGCGACATATAGGGATCACTTCTCCGTCGTCTGTCTGTCCGTCTGTCTGTCTGTCTGTCTGTCTGTCTGTCTGTCTGTCTGTCCGTCTGTCCGTCCGTCCGTCACAAAACTTGTCCGGACTACTCCTCATAAACTGCTGGTGCAATTTCATCCAAACTTTACAGGAATGATCAGTACCAAGTCTAGTTGTGCATATTGTCAGGATTTTCCGGTTCAATGATTTTTGTCAGAGTTATGGCCCTTTAATAATTTTTGATTTTAAAGTTTGTCCGGACTACTTCTCTTATACCACTAATGCAATTTCAATGAAACTTTACAGGATTGATCTGTAGCTCAAGTCCTTGCGCATATTGCACGGGTTTTACGGTTGAATGATTTTTGGCCGAGTTATGGCCCTTTGATAAAAAGGTTTCTTTTTCTGTGTGTTGCCAGATACACAAAAGCTTGTCCGGACTACTCCTCATAAACTACTGGTGCAATTTCATCCAAACTTTACAGGAATGATCAGTACCAAGTCTAGTTGTGCATATTGTCAGCATTTTCCGGTTCAATGATTTTTGTTTGAGTTATGGCCCTTTAATAATTTTTATTTTTAAAGTTTGTCCAGACTACTTCTCTTATACCACTTATGCAATTTCAATGAAACTTTACAGGATTGATCTGTAGCTCAAGTCCTTGTGCATATTGCACGGGTTTTCCGGTTGAATGATTTTTGGCTGAGTTATGGCCCTTTGATAAAAAGGTGTTTCTTTCTGTGTGTTGCCAGATACGCACAAGCTTGTCCGGACTACTCCTCATAAACTACTGGTGCAATTTTATCCAAACTTTACAGGGATGATCAGTACAAAGTGGTTAGTCTAGTTGTGCACTGTCCGTCTGTCTGTCCGTCTGTCACAAAATTTGTCCCAACATGAAATTGGCCATCATGAGGCGACACATGTGATTACTGATCGCTCTTGTTTATATCAGTATTTTGTGATTTGATAATTTGCTGCTTTAAGCAGAATTGTGGCACTTTGTTTTTTTTTCATATATGTAATATTGGCACATATTGCCACAATTACGAAAATAATTGTGTAAAATTTGAAATACAAAAATTATTTGAGTAAAATTTGAATTTATACAAATATTTATGCAATATTGGCAGAAACCCTGGTTTTGTGACAGTTTGGACACATGTTTCTAATGTGGTTTTATTTAACTAGAATATACAACGTAATTTAAATTGCATTAGAAAAAATTATGCCATGTACCAGCTGAGACAGATTTTGATATTTGGAACATTATAAGCATTGAGATTTTTGTTACTTCAAGTCATTTGGTTATAAAAAAAGCACCCTTTTAATTTCATCTTTACATTATGATACATTTTGAACTGTCAACAATAAGAAATACATTCAAATTAATATTTTGTTCCTGTCTGTGGCTCACAAATCAGAAATATGTATAATGAAAAACATCTAAAAGAATGTCAGATAATTGTCAACAAATATCTGCAGAATTGAAAGGCTTGTTTCCATGTAAAGAATTTCAGCAGGCATTATTAAAATGCTGTTTACTGTTTTTACTGATTAGCCCATTTGGAAATGTATTTCTACAGACTTGATATGCAGGTTTAAGTTGTTAAGGCAATATATTTATTTTCTGCAATAATTTTTTGGAATGAAGACTATGATAATGTCTTAATGTACTTTTTCATCAGCCACTGATATCAGGTATAAAGTTGACCCTCAAACATATGTCAGATATTTTTTCTTGCATATTCTACCATATTCCATTATATTTTGTATACCTTTACCTTCATAAAATAATTTTCCATGGAAATTTATGTCATTACACCCATAATTATTTTCTAACAACAGTACATTGAAATTACAGCTTTATTCATAACAGTAAAATTAAGTCATCCTAAGCGTGCCATTGTACAGCACGCGACTCATCTGGACCCCATGCCAGATGAAATTTCTGGCATGGGTAAAACTAAGGAAACGCCAGTCTGAATACACTGGAAAAACTGGTTACTACTGGTTCAGAATACTGGAATATTAGTATGTATAGTCTGCTAGTATATGACTGAAATTCTGATAAGATTGCAACAAGCCAAATAACTATCTTGCTAATTTCTGTGTTAATTTAAGACTTTATTTATTTTTAAACTGAATGAGTGCTCCCAAGTCCAAAAGAGGTCTAAATCCTTTATATAAAATAGGACTAAATCCTTTAATGTAAAGTCAGAAGAGAAAACTCGGTTAGAGAAACGTTTGCATTAAAAAAAAATATATAGGTATGTCTCGTGACCAGTGGTAACGGAGATGCTGTATATTAGTTAGAATAAGAAAATAATACTTGTAAATGTAAATGTATGTTATCGTCATTTTTCTCTGTCCTTGTCTCCTTGTGTCTCAGTGTTTCAGCTTACATTCGTACTATATACAGAATATATATATCTAATATTTTTTTTAATTCCCGCGTGTACAGATATTATGCAAATTTTGAAGCACAGCATAATGGTTACATATTCTCATGTTTATTATTCAGACGACCATTCCCGTGTTGTATTGACGACCAACACAAACGTGTCTGGCGCAGATTACATCAACGCAAGCACAATCGTAAGTATATTTACGTTGACTCTGCAAGAAAAATACAACTATTATCTGAGGACACAATAAAACGTGACATGAATATTTATATGTTAAAAAAGAATAAATATTATTTAATTTATTTAACATGAAGAAATCTAGTTTTGCTCTAATTTTGACATTGAGCACCTTTCTCAATATCAGAAGTTCTTTTATTAAAGTCATTCACAGAACAATCCTTATGTTAACAAATCCATACAGAGTGAACAGGTTTGACATATTCAGCTGCTAAGGTTCTAGTATTTTAATTTGAATTTTGCTAAATTAACAATGACCCTATTGTTGTGGTCATAATTTGATCAGCATGTTGAACGCCTACAGTGGGACATGTTTTTGGTGACATTAAGATTGTGTCTTGTTTCTTAGAGGTGTTGCTGTAAAGAGTTTATGGCTATGTAGATGCCAGCTTTGTAGAGGTTACACTGTATTTTGTAAGGATATTATTTGTAGCAGATTTAACATGAACTTTGTCACATTTACAGACGGATCATGACCCACGGAACCCGGCGTATGTTGCAACCCAGGGCCCCTTGCCACACACTGTCGCAGATTTCTGGCAGGTATGAAATATAATGTTATTTATATCTATAAAAAATCTTATTTCAGGACAGAAAAGATCACAACGTATCAGCACAGCAAAGAAATTACTTGGGCAGAAATGTTTTTGCTTGCAGTATGTGTCTGAAAACTGGTTAAGAGGAATATTTTAGTGAAAACATATTGATTACAAAGTTTTGCATTCTTTCTGAAACGTATTCAAACAATAATGGCAAAAAAAACAAAAAAAAAAACAATTATTTGAATGTTTAAACAAATATGATATGTTTACAAAAAGAAATCTAATGTAAAAAATTCCAAAAAAAAGAGACAAATCTCAATGTACTCTTTGCTGTTGAAAACATTTGATTCACATGCTGTTCTCCAGACTGTCATTCAATTCTTTTAGAAAGTTCCATCTGACACTGAAACATGGGCTGAGGAAATCGTATATTCATAATAATTGGGTTTTTTTCTTCCTTTTCCACATGGAATAAAGTGACAAGAAATAGGAATCTAAAAAAAAAAAAAAGAAAAAAAAAATATATGTATCAGTTTTAAGATAATGTATATCACTCACTGTTCATTATCCATTTTATATCACTCATTGTGTACCACTCATTGTATATCACTCATTGTATATCACCCATTGTATATCACTCATTGTATATCACCCATTGTATATCACTCATTGTATATCACCCATTTTGTACCACTCCTTGTGTACTACATTTGTACTCATTGTACATCACCCATTGTTAATTACTCAGTATATATCACCCCTTATAAATCACTAATGATCCATCACTTAATGTTTATCAGTATATATCACCCCTTATAAATCACTAATGATCCATCACTTAATGTTTATCAGTATATATCACCCCTTATAAATCACTAATGATCCATCACTTAATGTTTATCAGTATATATCACTCCTTATAAATCACTAATGATCCATCACTTAATGTTTATCAGTATGTATCACTCCTTATAAATCACTAATGATCCATCACTTTATGTTTATCAGTATATATCACTCCTTATAAATCACTAATGATCCATCACTTAATGTTTACCAGTATTTATCACTCCTTATAAATCACTAATGATCCATCACTTAATGTTTATTACACAGTATATATCAAACATTATAAATATCTCATTGTAAATTACTCAATAAATACAATATGAAAAAAAAAATGATCTAGTCATAAAATATGTACACATTTTATATTATAGATGGTATGGGAACAAGGAAGCGTTGTGATTGTAATGTTGACCAAGTTAACGGAGAATGGTGAAGCCAAATGTCACAGATACTGGCCAGACGAGGGTAGCGACCTTTACCATATATACGAGGTACGGGGACAGTAACAATATAAGAAACTTCAACTTTTAACTATTTCAATATAATACTATACTCAAAGTTTCAACCTGTGCTTTTTTGGGGAATTTTTTTTCGTAATTTGCCAAAGAAAAATGTTTTTACACTTATATTGTGAAAAAAACACACAATATGCTTTGAACTTTCTGAAGTTTCCTACATATTCATCGGCCTCTTTGACTGAGTTGTTACGGTTTCCTTCTTTTAATCAAGTACACTTACACTTAAATCTTTTAAGACTCCAAGCTGACCGAAATAATGCGCCATAATATATAAATTAAAATTTCCCTTTTTTAGATTACAATAATTTTGTTTAATTTTCATAAAGTTTTAATAAAAAGGTATTTTTTATGTAGCAAACATTGGGTGCCTCCTTAAAAAATAATTAAACTGGAAATATAATCTTTTTTAATTACATGTATAAATTACCGTTTTTATAAAAAAAGCTTAGATTACTATGAAGAATATTACTATAAAGAATATGGAGTGAATCCATTAATTTATTTGGTTAAAATTAGTCGAGCAAACACTGTAAAGGTCAACTGGCAATTTTCTGCTTAACAGGTGCACTTCTTAATATTATTGTCATTAAAAAAAAAGGGAAATTTTAATTTTGATTAATATTTGTTTTTAAGGGAGATAAATAAATAAGCAAACTTGAAGATAAATTTCTTTGAAATGACCTGATTTTTTAATAGATGAGCCACTAATGCTTTTAGATTTTCTTTCTTTAACTCTTAAATTCTGATTAAGCTATTCCGTACAATTTCTAAGTTTGCATAAAAATTAAAACATATAGGAAGAGTGCTTCTTAAACATCAATTACAACTGTTGTATTTTTCTCTGTAATAAACAATAATTAATATTTAATGATAAGGTTGAACTCAGGTTAAGGGAGTTGTATGAAATATTTTGTAGACTGATTATAGCTTTGAATGAAATTTGATCAGAGGTCTCATCTGTACATAAAAAAATTCATTATTGAATATTTGTCATTGGTTTTATATTCTAGTGGAATAGTTATTTAAGGGAAAATTTATTTGAAGTGGATATTAAAAGTTGAGAAGGTTTGATACATTAATGAATAGAAAAAAAATAGTTAAGACAAGAACAAACATTACTCTACTCATTCTGAGTAATGGACTTGCCCTGTTTTGAATTTGGAACAGTTCATTTTGTAATATAAAGGGGGGGAGGGGGGGGGGTGACATAAATATGTGAAATGTTGTTAGAATATAATTCAAATTCTGATGTGACTTAAGAAAATGAAAACAATGTAAGAGATTTCAAGAATTTGGCAACCAAATTGTTTATATTCTGGTCAGACTGCATGAATGTTCAAGCTGGCCTGGTTAAATACTGGTGGTGAAGGCACATCAATATTGTAACCTGCATTATAAAAGGTTAAAGTATGATCCCCATGTTGACTTCTCCATAACAATTATTGGAAATAATAAATGAAAATTGCATAATATGAGTTTTAGAAATTGAGTGATAATGAACAAGACTGTGGCATATTTTGCTATTAGTTTGTGTTCTTCAAGTAATTAAATTACTTTGGTAAACACAGTTGTGGTAAATTAATTGCACACTAAAATGGAGTCTTATTACATAAAAATTCAACTATATTTTAGATTTTTATGTTTTGAACACACCAGGTACATCTTGTATCGGAGCATATCTGGTGTGAGGATTACCTTGTGAGGAGCTTCTACTTGAAGAACCTGCAGACCGGAGAGACTCGTACCGTTACCCAGTTCCACTTTCTGACCTGGCCGGACCTTGGCGTACCTGGATCCATCAAAGCTCTTCTAGATTTTAGAAGGTAAAGAAACTGTGTGCTTTGTGTTGTGGCACTGTACATTGTGGTGGAAAGGTTGAAAACAACATGATAAAGTCACTGCAATGTAATATGTAATATTGTTATAGTTGACTTATTGCATGAAAGTCACTTTGATTCAACATTTAGAACAAATTTGGTGTTTTGTAAAATACAAGGCATGATAGATGTTAATGATTAAACGGTAAAGTCACAATGTTGTAACTTGAACTTTGATAACAATTAATATTTCAGACCATTTCATCCAATTTTTTAAGACAACCATGTCAGTATTCAGCATTGATAGCATGTTTAATATTCATTCTTTTTCTGTATGTTTCAGACTGTTTCTTAGAAAGTTATTCAATCTCAAACACTTTTTTGCTGTTAAATCTTTCCTCTGTTGTAATAACTTACTTAATTAGAAGAGTTTTCAATATATATCGAAATTTATTGCCATAGTTCTGGAAGTGTACTCTATTTTTGTTTGTATTTAGTAAAAAAAAATATATAGAGGATATTTGTTTAGTTCAGTGTAAGATCGGAATATATTTCACCGAGTGAGCACCAAAAGGTATATTTCACGAGTGGCGCAGCCACGAGTGAAATATGAACTTTTGGTTTTCACAAGGTGAAATATATTACAATCTTACACTAAACAAAACAAATTTTCTTTTTATTACATGCAAAGAAACGTTTTAAAAAGACATTTAACCTAATACTGAATGAAAAGGGCGCCAAATAATAATACAACGTGACGTCATTTACGACGTCACGTCATTAAGTTGGTACCCAGTACTGTGCACGCTGGTATTTCACTGAAACAACGTAAGGGGCTTAAATTCAAAACAGTGAAATTATCAAAGTGGTAATTTCATTGTTTCAAACAGTGAAATTACCAGTTTTATATCACTGATATATTTCTATAAACCACCGAAAAGCATGTAATAAATATAATTATGTCATTGACAAACACTTTCAGATAATTCTTGCCCAACAAAACATGAATCAAGTCGCAGAATTTTCTGCAGAGTTGCCACTTGTTAGATATAATTGTCACATGAAGAAAAATATTTAATATTATAAATGTTTCCAGAGATATTTAATATGAATTGTACGTGAAACCCTAGATGTTGAACTAGATTTTATGGCAACGATAATGAGAGTAGAGAAATATTGAAATCGAAGAATTGGCGTAGAAATGAGAGTGATATATTAAATGAAATATACGCAGGTGAAATACAATTATTTGAGATGAATTTTTTCTGACTTGGAACAAAATCTATAATAATTCTCATTAAAAGTATTTTGTAAGGTTTCTGCTATCACTCACTCTGCTGTGTATAATATTGAGACAATTTTTTTTTTTATATACAAATGTTGTTGGGGTTTTGGATGTTTTATTTTCATTGTTCACAAAAGTTACTTAAAGAAGTATAAAATCTAAGGACAGCAGCTGTTAACAGTTTTATTATAATAATTGGTATTTGTAAAGAAATCAAATCCACAAGGAAGTAAAGTTGTTAAGATGTGTAGTTCAGACTCTACAACAAGAAATTACAATACCAATAATGTTTTTTCCACAAGTCGGCTAGTCTTTGCAAAAACACATATACCATAGTTGAAATCTTCTTCCATGTGTGTTTAAACATGACCCTGGGGTTGCTAAAGTCATATATTTTAAGGATGTTTTTTTATTATTTGTTGGTTTTTTGTTTTTGTTTGGGGACATTTTTTTTAAATTTCAAGCTTGTGTTTTTTGGGAGGTGGGGGACATTTTCTTTTAATTTACAAGGTTGTACTATTTGTCCTTAAAAAGTCTTTAAAACATCCTTAGAAGTCTGTAGGAATCTTGTCAGAAATATAAAAGAACTTAACTAAATTAACAAGTTCAATCTATGCCACTTTATAAGGATAGCGGATACATTATCTCAATTTAATGAAAAATTACTACTTTTCAGAAATCTCTAGACCTACCAGTAAAAATTAGGTGTTTTTTTTCCCCCCAAAGATTAAGGATGTCTCTACTGGGTTGTGCTTGAAAATGAATCTGTTCAAAATAGATTTGTGTCAACATATTTCAAATGTTACAGAGCTGCATTTCCGATGAATAGAAAGAAATACTTTAACCCTCTTTAGAAGTGGTGACACTCCTTTCTTGAAAAAAAAAACACACACCAGAAAAAACAATTTCCAAGAGATGTGTTTTAGAGAGAAATTTGTAAGGGAAATTGAGAAGTGAAAGGGAAGAATTGGTGACGAGAAGAAGGTTGTTAAAGCACTCAATATACGGGAGATGATTCGAGGAGAATGGTGGGTGATTAGTCATAGATAGTATAAATCCTGATGGATTTGGACCGAAATCATGTATGTGCCGCGCATACAAGATCACGGCTTATGTTGGGAAGAAAACTGAAAATCAGCATGTAGCTCATTCAATCCAATTTAGGTTGTCTTAAGAGATGTTTCATTAGGTAAGGCGGCGGTTGAGATCACAGACTGGTGGATTGCGTTGCCGATCCTTTCCGTTGATTGATTTTTTTATCAAAATCATTCTCAAAAGTAATGTTTTTCCTATAATCAATAAACTAATGCAGATTTATTTATTTTTGCAGAGTTTTTCTTTCGCAGTCGTTAGGACTGATTCAGCCCGTTAGACGTTAAATAGAGTGTTGAGATAAGGGTTTTATAGTCTTACGTAAAATGTTGATTGATCTTCACTGAAATGAACGTGCAGTGTGACCATGCCACTGCGGAATAAAGAAGAATATTATTATACTAAGTTCTTTCTCTTTTTTTTCTGACATGCATTATGGTGAGCTAACTTAGGGGACTATTTAGTTAAAGTTTGAAATCATAATCAGAAATAAAAAGAAAATAAATAAAACCATTAGATGTGTCACTCACTAACTATTACTTGCCTCTCACTGCTACATGTGGGTTTGACTCCTTGCAGAGACTTTTGACTCTTTCATGTGCGGAAGCTATCCGGATAGCTTATTGCAGGTTGTTGCATGGTTCTACAGTTAAAGCATGGAATTATTCACAGTATTCACAGACTAGTACCTGATAGTTCTCTGCTACTTATATAGCTGGAAAAGAAATATTTGTTAATGTGAGAGGTACATTAGTAATTCATTCTGGTCATGTTTAGCTTCACTAAGCCTCAGTAAATTAAAAGAATTCCAGTAACCTTCACTAATAAAACTATATAGAGACATGACTCCCATTTATTCTTCATAGCCTAATTATTTTATAGCTACAAATAACAGGTTGTCTAACAGTTTGCCGTTACCATAGCTACAGATTTATCCGCAAGATTCCTAATTAATGATAAAAACAATCAATGCATTCCACTTACGGGCGCTATCAGAAAATCTTAATCTATAAAAGGCATTGACGACTCGTAGCTCTATCAGTTGCCCAATCAGAATTAATGTTCAATAGTCATTTGAATGTAATGTATTGCGAGATCCTCTAGTTATACATTTTGTGATACTGATGTAGTATTTAAATAAAATATACATCCAGGTTGCAGACAGAGAAAGGCTTTACTAATTGGAAACTTGAGATTACTTCATGTATATAAATTTGTCTGAAATACGAGGTTCTGTCCTCGTAATTCAAGGAATTTCATTGTGTTAAGAAATTTAACTAGGTCATCTGGTCTGTAACTGCACCATATTGTAAGAGAAGGTGAAAACAAAATCAGATGATTCTTTTTTCTCGACCAAAGAGAGAATTCTGCTGAAATGTGACTCACTGCGTAACTTTGAAAAACATTACTTTTACTATTATTATTTATTTTAATACACATGCTTTTTAACAAGATTTTTAATAGATAAGGTTTTAACCCTGATAAGAATAACTGTATTTTACAGGCAGTAAATATCAGTTTTCAAATCTTTGTGATTTAGCAAAAATTTGTTTACTGTCAGATGCTTTATTTAAGCATTTTGATTTCAAAATCCCTCAAATTAAAATGGTCAAGTCCAAATTCAGAGCAGGACATGTCTATTATTAAAATTTAGGGCAGAAAACATTTAGAAATAAGAGATTCAGTTTTTTTGACTGGAAGTTGCTGTAAATTTTTGTCCATCTTGTGCATAAAATGCAGAACAGAATGATGTTTTTAAATGCCTAAAAATGAAATGAAAGTATTACACTTATGTATCATTTTGCCATACAATGTTTAAATATTGTTTTACTAATGGAACCACTGTATAAAGTTAAGGTGAATTATTCAATGTAATGAATAAATAGATGAATGAGAAATTTGATCATTAAATAATGAAAAAAAAAGGCTTTTATGGTATATTGAAAATTTCCGCCTGTAGTCAATACCAATGCATGATTAATGGAAATGCATTTGCAACATATTGAATTTTACCCTATATCTTTCATTACGACCCTGTGTGAATTTGCCGGTAGTAAAAAATGGAACGTAACATTATTCAATAATTCTTTAATGTGCCCTGCACCGAAATTAATGACCCAAACAACAACTCTGCTTAATATCGATTTAAAATAAATCGGGGTACTGAATAATTTCCTATAATAAATCTGTTGACTATAATCAATATTCCGTTGAGCCTGAGTCCCCAATTAACAGCATCCCCCCAACACACACACGTCCCCTCGTTCCACTTTTCATTTACGCTTGTTATTTTATGATTACAGGGAGCATGGGAGCAATAGGTTATTGATTGCTAATGATTTGGTAATTGTACTGTTAATTGTAATAAACAGTGTTAACTGCAACAGAAAATTACATCTGCTAGAAAACTGTATGTTAATGTTATATGTTAGTTATAAGGGCTCGGAAATGAGGTGATTGAAACCTAACTCACTGTTGTTAGGAATGAGTCAGAATTGTTGAAACTTAAAGTGTTAAATTTCATGAATTTTTAGCTCCTTTTTTTTTCTTTTTTCTCTTTTTTTAATTAAATTTTTTTCCATGGAAAGATATCAAATTTCTTTCCAAGACACACGTTAGTTAGTTTGTA